AGGTGCAGCACAGCAGGCCAGGCAGCATCAGAAGGGTCGGGACCCTTCTTCAGAAATTCTTGAAATACCAGCTTTCCTGTTCCTCTGATGCTACCTGGCCTGCTGTGTTCCTCCAGCTCCACACTTTGTTATCTCTGACTCCAGCATTGGCAGTTCTTGCTATCTCATGTTTATGAAGCATCTGGTTTTGTTGCAGACAGTTGCCAGGGGAGAGATGCAGTCAATGACTTGGGAACTGAGTTTGGAGTGGGCCGCAAAGCCAATGGGTTCAGAAATTTCTTCTAATCCAATACTGAAAGTCAGATAGTTGTCTGATAACTGTGGTGGCTTCGAGAAAGCTACTGGTGAGGTAGAACTAAAGTTGTTTTTCACTAGCATAAATGTGACGATAATTGCTGTGCATCCATATATGGTCACTAATTGGCCACACGTGAAAGAGGAATAGCATGGGGCCAAAATGAGATCCTTGGGTTACACCAGAAATAATGGTTTAGGAGTGAGAAAGGAAACCATTGCAAATGATGCTTGATGACTCTTTAAGAATGTAACCGGGCCAATACAGTCCTATCCAGCTGGCTGACAGTGGAGAGTTGTTGGAGAAGGCTTATTTGATCAACCATGCCAACAGCTTGAGGCTGGTTGAGAAGATGAGCTTAGATAGCTTACGTTTGTCACATTCAGGTAAGATGTAATTTGTGACTTGGTTAAGAGCTGGTTTATTACTGTGGCAGGGTCAGAAATCTAATTGGAGAGATCCAGACAAGAACTTGTGTTAAAGACAGTCACAGACCTGGGAGGGGGGAGATGCCAAATAGATAAGACACTGCCAAGGATGAATGTACCTGAGATTGTTTCCTGTTCTGACCGAGATACTCAAGATGCTTCAATTATACATTTGTAATTCATCAGGATTTCCCGAGGCACTGGTCTATGTAATTTGGATGATATGATCATTTATAAGGAGCAGAATATTATTCTGTCGTAAGATGATGCTTGGACCTTTTATTCCAAATTGATATTAAATACACTTTTAAGGTTAAAAAGGCTTTGCCTTCCCTTTGAGAGTTGTTTTGCTTAAGTAACAAGATATTGGTTCAGAATGATCTAATTCGCTTAAGAGTGGTTGAAGCCAAATGTACCACAAGTTGCAAAAAAAAACAGAATTTAAGATAGGAAAAGAGACTTGTACTTGTTCGGGGGAGCTTGTACGGAACCCAGAAAAGTGGGAGACCTCCCACGCAGGGTGATTTAATTAGGAGGGTTGGCGAATTTTGGTTTCCCAACAGCAGGAGTGATACAGAGATAAAATGGGCAGTGTTGATGCAGTGCATGCAGTCTCATGCTGGCCAGTAGCAGGTTCGTATTTGTAAAGTATTTTCATGCCATTATACTCTTTGGCACAAACGCTGTTTAAAATTAAGATCCACCTTCAAGATAAAATCATTGACGCAAGAATCTCATGGCACACAACTCACATTTATTTAAAGGTAGCATGCGCCAGTCAATCTTGTGTAGTTGCATGTAAGGCTTTTCTTTTTGCCTGTATGGCATGAGGTAGAGGACAGAAGAATAGCATCTTGCATAAAGGCTCGGGACACCTAAGAGTGTCAGTGGTGATGGTGTGGTGTGAAGTGGGATCGGAGTGTGTGGAAGAGTAGAGGCGGGTCCAGGGGAGTTCAGACAATGGGATCGAGTACATAGACAAGTGAAGTGGAAATGGCCAGGTATCCTGCGGGAGGTGGGAGGGTGGTTTGGGATTGGTCAGTCAAGATAAGTCATTGGCAGTGTTAAAGGGCAGAATCAGTACTTCTAAATGTCTTTCTATCTCAGGGTAGTTGGCTGGCCTACAGGGTGTTGAGTTCAGCTACAATATATAAATTATGCCTGCTGAAAATGATCTCAGAAGATGCCTTTTACAATGCATGGAAGAGAGGGCCAACTGAGCCTGCAAGTTCTGTCATGACCCGTAGAGTGGTGAGTACCGCAACGGGTGCTGACCTGGACATTCAATTAAAAAGTGAAAAATAAAAGCACGATCGTAATTTTTCCACAATAACGCAAATGTTGCTAATTTGCCCATAGCCATTTTGTGTGCCAATCATAGGAATATTGGGATAGGAGCAGGCCATTTGGCCCTGAAGCCTGTTTGTTTTATTCATTTGTGGGATGTGGGGGCCTCTGGCTGACCAGCATTTCTCGCTCGTCCCAAGTTGCACTCGAAGGTGCCTGTAAGCTGCCTTTTTGAACCATTGCAGTCAACCAGTGATGGATTGACCCAGTTTGCCCTTAGGGAGGGAATTTCAGGATTTTGACATAGTGAGAGTGAAGGAACAGTGATATATTTCCAAGTCAGGAGGGTGAGTGGATTGGAGGGGAATTTGTAGGTGGTAGTTTTCCCATGTATCTGCTGCCCTGTCCTCCTCGTTGGACATAATTGTGGGTTTGGAAAGTGCTGTCTGAGTGAATTTCTTGGGTGAATTTCTGCAGTGCATCTTGTAGATAGTACAAACTGCTGCTACTGTGCATTGGTGGTGAAGGGAGTGGATGTAGTGCCAATCAAGGGGGCTCCTTGGATGTTGTTGGAGCTGCCCCCATCCAGGCAAGTGGGGAGTATTCCATCACACTCCTGACTTGTGCCTTGTAGATGATGGACAGGCTTTAGGAGTTAGGAGGTGAGTTACTAGCTTCTGTATTCCTAGCCTCTGATCTGCTTTTGTAGCCATTGTGTTTATGTGAGTCTAATTGAGTTTCTGGTCATTGCTGACCCCCCAGGATGTTGATAGGGAATCCAGTGATTGTAAATTGAATGTAGAGGAGCGATGTTTAGATTGACTCTTATTGGCAATGGTCATAGCCTGGCATTTGTGTGGTACAAATGTGACTTCCCACTTGTCAAGCCAAGCCTGGACATTATCCTGAGCTTGTTGCATTACAACCTGGACTGCTTCTGTATCTGAAGAGTTGTGAATGGTGCTGAACATTGTGCAAACATCAACAAACATACCCACTTCTGACCTTCTGATGGGAAGGAAGGTCATTGACGAAGAAGCTGAAGATGGTTGGGCTGAGGACACTACGCTGAGGAACTCCTGCAGAGATGTCCTGAAGCTAAGACGACTGACCTCAGTACCCACGATCATCTTCCTCTGTGCCAGGTATGACTCCAACCAGTGGTGAACTTGCCACCTGATACTCATTGACTCCAGTTTTGCTGGGGCTTCTTGATGCCACACTCAGTCAAATGCAACCTTGATGTAAAGGGTTGTCACTCTCACTGCACCTCTGGAATTCAGTTGTTTTGTCAATGTTTGAACCAGGGCTGTAATGAGGTCAGGAGCTCAATGGCCCTGGCGGAACCCAAACTGGGTGTTGCTGAACAGGTGCTGCTTGATAGCACTGTTGGTAACACCTTCCATCACGTTACTGATGCTCGAGAGAGTAGACTGTTGGCTGGGTTGATTAGCTCTCTTACTATGCAAGACACAATAAAAAACAATGATGTATATATGAACAAAGTGAAACAAACGAAATGTGAAACATTTGTAAGTGAAATTTCATTTTGCAAAACACCCACCTTCGTGTTCGCCAGTCTTATGTTAATTCTAAAGAAGTTGGATGGAAATATGTGGCCGTGATTCAGAGCTGCCGTGTTTGACGTGGAGACTTCTTTATAGCTCACCTGTAGCTGCAGTATTGTTGGATGACAACACCAGTGAAAAACTTCCTCTGCCGCATGATTGCGCATATTGTCCCTACACGGCTCGGCACTTCAGTTTTGCTTGTGCTTGCATAGGCATTGGCAAAGAGCAAGAGAGCTGAAATAATGCACTCTTCTAGTTATGCCATTTGAAATAATACGCTGTTGACAGAATCACCTCCATGTACCTCCCCAGCTTTAAAATTCAGCTGGAGCAGGAGGTGTCAAACAGATTGTTGCAGATTGGCCCCCAATTGCACAATTACCTCAATTTTGCTAAAAAAACCCATTCAAAGATCATTGAGGTAAAATGTGCCAATGATATCGCAGGACTTAATTTTTAAAAAAAATTCACCAGGATCAGTGAAGGTTGGCAAAGACAGGAAGTATGGCCATAATTTGTAGCAAGTCCAGCTCACCTATCATTCCTCTGAATGTTGACCTCCAATGGATCTTCGCGTGGTACACCTCAATTATGAAATTCTCAACTTTGAGGTCCCCACCTTTTCTCTGTCACCCCGTCTAGCCCTACAATGTGGAGTAAAGGGGTAATAATACTTTTAAAAATAGTGACTGGGCTTATTTGTAACAAGCTATACTGTAGTGATGTCATATCAGTTATGATCTCATTGAATGGGAGAGGGGTCTGGAGCCTGAATCTGTAGGGTTCCAAAAGATGTATAGAGTTATATTTAATAAAGCCTGATAACGTTCACTTATAAGAGAAAAAATATGATCCTACTAAAGACGTCAAGATATAAGAACAGAAGTAGGCTTTTCAGCCCATCAAGCCTCCTCTCCCATTCGATGAGATCATGGCTGATCTGATAATCTTCAACTCCACTTTTCTCCTTTTTGGATAACTTTTGTGTACCTTATTGATTGGACAAATAAATACAACAGTCACAGACCTCTTGCTCCCTCAATTCTGTTCTCTAACACAGGCTTTATTAGAATTGATACACCATTAATGGCTGTGCCTTCAGTTGCTGAAGTAAAATCTCTGAAAAATGTCTCTAAATTCTCTCTTTTCCTTTATGTTATCCAAATTTCTGTTACGGGTTTTGGTGTCAAATTTTGGGGAGCTTAAAGTACATGAGAACATTGGTAATAGGAATACGGATAGTCCATGTGACCGCGAGTCTGCTTAATACAATCATGGCTGACTTCCCTTACACTGTTCCCAGCTGCTGTCTATTTCCCTTAATTTTGGGTATTGTATTTACTGAAATAACGGCACTATCCCATACAAGTTGTTACTGTTAGTGCTGCTGTGTTCTGAATGTGTTGTAACTTGTGCCAGGTGGAGGCAGAAATTAGCAAGGCAAATATTGGGGAGATCATATCTTGTGGTCGAGAGACCCCAGCAGATGTCAAGCAGAGCAGCAGAGAAGGAACAAGAAGGAAGGAAGGAAGGTAAGCTCTGTTTTAATGGCATCTTTTAATATTTTTAGTAATTCAAAATTGCACTGGAGCATAGCAACAATTCACACTTTTCACTGCTTTTTTTAAAAATACATGTGGCAATGAATCCTTCCTTTCTCCCTTCCTCCCTTCCCTCTCCCCCCTCCTCCCTCCCTCTCTCCCCATTTGTTACAGATTCCCCAAACTGTTAACTTCCTGAGTGGGTTGAACTGGTTCTTGTTGGTTATTCGCACTAATTGCATCCCGGTTCACATCTTCTATGTGAAATGACAATCGGCATTATACAAAACCGACAGCAGAATAAGGACAGTTGGAGAGTGGAGAAATGTGTGTTAATGCATGAGCTGTTGACAGTGATTGTGAAGATGTTTTGAATGTTACAACCAGAGAGGCTCCTCTCTTTTTTAACTCCCTTAGTTGGCAGTTAAAAAAAAAGTTTTAAAATACTTAGCACATGACTATGTCAATCATGACGATGGATCAGAACCCCAAAGTGCTAATGGACATATTAAACCTTTAATTCTAACATTTTTTTTAAAAGATGCCAGCTGCAGCCGAAAGGTGACTGCAGATGTAAACTGTGGCCATCCAGGAGAGTCCTGTATCAAGGCGTTGCACACCGAAACAGAGTCAGGGAAATGATCATGAGATGCTGAGTACTCTTCATCCTCACAGCAGGAAGCCATCTCCAACAGATATGTTTGTATTTTAACCTTCCAGCGATATTAAGCAACGAGTTAAAAACTGACTGTAGCACTGGCCTCCTGTGCGTTAATGGCCTGACTTACTAGTGTCTGGAATAGTGTGCTGTGAAGATCACGACTTTAGAATAGCTATTAAACACCCTTGCACTGCGGCTAAAGAAAAGGGAAAAGACATTCTATAACTCTTAGTGCTGCCAATGAACCACCATAGAAAGGAATTGGGACAAAAGAATTTAAATCAAACTACAAAGCCGAAAATCTTAACGTTGAGTAGTCAATGACTAACATCAACATTCCTAGTGCTAACCAATGTAGTAGCTACAATGGTTTACACTCTACTTTTCAATAATATCTGAGAGGCATGTTTTGTTTGAACATTACCTCACATTTAATAACTAAAAGTCTCCTTTGACTTAATTTAAGCATTAATTAATTTGATCTGGGAATAAGGTATTCACAAAAGAAAGGATTTAAAAAAAAATTAACCTTGTAGCAAACAACTGAGATGGTGGGTATATATAAAAAGGTACCAGTTGATCCATCCTCAAATGGGAGCTTAACAATTTGAGGTATCCCATCTGGAGCCATAACAAGTCGGTGAGTCTCATCCAGGGACTGGTCACCACGATATCATGCTTCAATTATATGTTTTACCACTCAAAATTAAGATACTGATTCAAAGATCATCTTCAGTGAAAGAAAGAGGTGTTTTATTGCTCATGATCCTGAGGAAAACAATAAAAAGTGACATCAAACATATACATAAACATAGGTATGAACTTTAAAAGGGGAGATTGTCTAGGACAAAGGGAAGTGAAGTGAAGGCAGTTTGGGAAAAAAAAAACTTGAGTCCTTGCAGAATTAGGTTTAAACCAGAGACCATGGATCTATAATTGACGTCTGTATCCTCAGCAGTGGCAAAATTTGTCAATAATTTTGCGTGAATGCGTCTTGGTCTAATGTGTTTAATTACCCAGCATTTTTTTTATTATTGAGAGAGTGAAATAAACAGGAGCAAGTGAGGAAGAGCCGTCCAGTTCTGCTGTTATGCATCCATTTCTTTCTATCTCTGTCTCCCTGAAATCTGTTGCCTAAAATACATTTCCATTGCATAAATCAGTGTCTGGCTTCATAGTTTTCTCTGATCTGGATAATTTGCAGATTAGTCTTTCATTCTAATATGTGAAACGTCAACAGTAAGATATTAATTAAACAATAGATACAGATCTGAATAATTGTTTCAGGCATTTTAATTGATGTTCATTTCCTATCCAACTATCTTGTTTACTTAATTGTTCCATGAAGTCTGCCTCAACCTGGTCAGGTGATCGCTGTGACCATCTTCAGTCAATGCTTCTTTTTTAAAACCATTTCAGTCCAAGAAAGGTGCCAGGTATTAAAATCAGACAGTGGACTTAAGTCCAAATCATTAGTCTATTTTAGCCACTATCATAACATTGATAATTGTAGTGAATGATCTCAGCTTGCAGAATGATACTCTTTGAATTCTTACCAGAGAGGTGTCCAAGAGACTGCTTGTACTCCTATCTTAATGCCTCTGTTCTCACCCACACTGAATCAGCAGTTTTGTATATCTCTGGACATCACTTAAGAGCCTGTAACTGAGGCAGAGGCATTAATACTCAGCACACGGTTGCTGAATAACCACGTTACAAAGCAGCTGGACAGAAGCATTGCAGGATTTTAGGCATGAGGTGGTTTTGAACAGCGTGCCAGAAATTTTGAGACAAGCTCCTTGGTACAGGAACAGTTGGACATGCATTAACTTTGGATTTTATTAAGTATTTGATGCAAGCTCCAGCCTCAACAGACAGCAGATTGCCTGCAGGAATTTGGGATTCCTTGCACGGCTGCAGAGATGGAAAGGACTATAGCAGTAGAGGATGTAATGTATATTTGATCTTCATTCCTCTTCACATACTTTGCTGACCGGTGATTACATAGGAAAGATGGCGAAGAGGATGAACTTGGAGGTGGCAGGGGGAAGGTGTGGGAAACTCAACTAGGTGGGTTCGTGGAATACCTAAACCCTACTGCCTTTCCACAATAGAGGAGGCAGATCACTCTGCCAGTGGCCCAGGAAATTGACCTTTAATTGTTCAAATTGCCCACTTGCCTTCAGTCAGTGCGCAGCTATTCCCCTGATGTTTCCCCAGCTGGGGAAGTTTCCTCGTCTGTCACCCAGGATCAGTAAAAACTCCAGCCAGTGGATTTGAAATGGAAGTATAATAGCAGCTAAAAAATAAAATCGGATTGGAGAATTTTTAACAAAATATCTGGAGAAAGCTCTTAAAAGTTTGCAGATTCCTCTATGTATCATGTTTATAAATGATTCCTGCAGAACAGAAAGATCTTGAGTCACCTTGACTGTCTCTGTTATTTCTACTATAGAGGGGAAAGCTTAAAAATAAACTCTGCCACAGTTATCAGCAGTTCAGAGATAAGAGAAGGAGGAATGAATTTTTGCAACTGCAATTTGAAGGCACAAACAAGGAGAGCGTGTGCAATAATCTACTTACATTAAAAAGTCAAACCAGAACAGCGTCAAGTAGTATCAACTCAGGCAAATTTGTATTGTAAAAATTTTGAATTGCACAATATACTCTTAATTACAGAACTTTTTTTTTTAAATACAAAGTTTATAAGATGTTGCGTTCGTGTTGAATAATAACCTGAGTTGTTGCCAGCAGCAGTAATGCTGAAGCACAATTCTTACTTAACATTTTTCTGCATGATATAAAAATCATGTACATTGAGCAAATAAATGAGAAAATTTCAATCATGATTGCCCCAAATTAAGCTCTATTTATATTAGTTTGTGTGTAAGGGTTAAACAACCATACCGATTCCCATCAATGATTGTTAAATGGGCACAGCATCATTGCAAGTAGTGCCTTTAAGGACCTATGGTGTAGTGTTGCAATGAAGGGTGGGCACTTGTGATATTGGATAATAGGCTCACAAAAGTAGAGCTTTCTAAAACTGCAATAGGGAGATAGCTGGCAGTGTCTCTGTTCTATGTTAAGATAATGAACATTTGGATGAAAACATATAATATGCCAAGGATAGTTATTATGTTAACACTGTGCAGAAAATTCCCATAGCAACTGTGTCCTTACTGTATCCTTAGAACCTGTTAACTTTGTACAGCTCACTCAGCTAAAACTGTTGTACGACTTCACAGCTTTGTTAGTAAAGCATATGAACACATGAAAAAGGAACAAGTGGAAGCCACTCAGCCCTTCAAGCCTGATCTGCCATTCACTAAGATCCGGGCTGATCTGATTTTGACATTTCTGCATCTTTTGTCCCCTTGGTAATCAGGAATCTTATCTACCTCTGCCTAAACAAAAAAGAGTCTGCATCCAGTGCCTTTTAAGGAAGAGAATTCCAAAGACTGACAACCCTCTGAGTGAAAATTATTTTCTTCATCTCTGCCTTCAGTGGACAAAACACATTTTTAAACATGACCTCTTGTTCTAGATTCCCCCACAAGTGGAAACATTCTTTCAGCATTCACCTAGTCAAGTCCCCTCAAAAACTTATGTTTCAATTGGGTCATCTCTGACCCTTCCCAACCCTAAGGAGTACAGGTCTAGACTGTTTAGCCTTTCCTCATAAGAGAATCCATTCATTTTCAGGTATTAGCCCAGTAAATATTTTGTGAACTGCTTCCAGTGCATTAGCATGCTTCTGTGAGTATGGTGACCAGTACAGTACTCAGAACTCCAGATGTGGGGGTTTTATCAATGCCCTGTATAACTGAAGCCTAACCTCCCTACTCCTGCATTTAATTCCCTTCACAATAAAAAAAACATTCTATCAGCTTTTCTGATTACTTGCTGTACCTGCAAATTAACCTACTGCGATTTATGCAATCACGCAGGCAGGTCTCCAGGCAGCTCAGAGCTTTGCAACCTCTCACCATTTAGATAATATGCTTCTTTTTCAGTCTTTCTGCCAAAATGGATAATTTGACACTTTCCCACAGTGTACTTCATTTGCCTGATCTTTGTTCACCCACCAACCTGTCTATATTGCTTTGTAGGCTCCTTATGTTTTCTTAACAACGTATGATCCTATCTATCTTTGCATAACCATTAAGTTTAGCTCCCATACCTTATATCAGTTCATCCAAATCATTTATATAAATTGTAAAACGTTGAGGCCCAGCACAGACGCCTGTGGCACACCACTAATGGCATCCTGCCAGTATGAAAAAGACCCTCCTACTCCTACATTGTGCTTCCTGGTAAACAGCCAATTTTCTATCCATGCCAATAATTTACCCGCAAACCAAGAGCTATAATTTACTACAATAACCTTTGATGTGATAACCTTATCAAATGCCTTCTGGAAATCTAAATATAATAGATCCACTGTTGCTCTTTAACCACAGCACAAGTTACTGTTTCAAAGAACTCTAATAAATTAGTTAAACATGATTTCCCTTTGACAAAACTGTGTCAGCTCTGCCTGATTACCTTGAACTCACCCAAGTCTCCTGTTATGTCTTTAATAATAGCTTCCAACTTTTTTCTTATGGTTGATGTTAAGCTAATTAATCTGAAGTTTCCTGCTTTTCCCCTCTTCTTCTGGCCCCTCTCCCTTTTTGAATAAAGGACTTACATTAACTATTTTCTAATCTAAAGGAAAATTCCCTGAAACTTATTATTTTGTAACCTTGAGGCGTACCTGCTGATCTACTTTTAGATCTGCACTCTCTGTCCCTTCTTATCATTGTCTGTTTATGATTTCCTACATTAGTTCCTTCCTCATTTGCTGTCTTCCCACTTTGAATCACCACACGTTTCCAAATTTGGACTATTGCACCCACTATTTAGTTTTAAACCCCCACTACTTCCCTAGTTAAGCAGTTCATAAGAACACCATTGTATGGTTCAGGTGTTGACTGGCCCAACAGTACAGATCCCACTTTCCCCACAATTGGTGTCAGTACCTCATGGACTGGAACCCACCTGTCCCATGCTGGTCTTTCAGCCGCACATTCATCTCTCTCACCTTGTTCACTCCATGCCAATTTGCATGTGGCTCAAGTAATAATCCGGAGATTATTGCCTTGGAAGTTCTGGTTCTTACAAACAACGCACAACCTCTTTCTTACATATACCTATGTCATGGGTGCCTACTTGATTCATGACAACTGCATCCTCCCTTCCCAATGCAAGCTCTTTTCCAGCCCAGAGCAGACAGCCTGGCACTGAGCAGG